TCTTATGTTCTATTCTGGTTTTCCGTTGTTGTTTCTTATTGTTGTTTCCCTCTTTTTTTCCTGTCTGAGCTTCAGTTTGGGTCTCTTCTATTGAGCTATCCTCAAACTGACTACTTCTATGTTCTGCTGGGTCCAATCTGCTATTAAACCCATCTACTGTGTCCTTATTGTCAAATTGTGAATTTTCTTAGCTTTAGAATGTCATTTTTTTCTTTCTTCCATCCTTTCTTTTCTTTCCTTCCCCTCTTTCTTTCTTTCGAGATGGAGTCTTGCTATGTTTTCCTGGCTGCAGTGCAGTGGCTATTCACACTCTACGGTAATGGTGCAATCCCACTACTGATCAGCACGGGAGTTTTGACCTGCTCCATTTCTGACCTGGGCCAGTTCCACTTCTTAGGCAACCTGGTGGTTCCCTGCTGCAGGAGGTCACCATATTGATGCCAAAGTTTAGTGCAGACACCTGATCAGCATAGCACACTAGAACTTAGAACTCCTGGGCTCAAGTGACCCTCCAGCCTCAGCCTCCGGAGCAGCTGGGACTATAGGTACATGCCACCATGCTTGGTTGTGTCTCTGTGGATAGATTCCAATTCTCTGTTCAATTCTCCATCCTCTTATCTAATTTGCCCCCCTTCTATTTTCTTTAACATATTAATCAGAACTGTGTTCACGTTCTTGGGTGTAGAATCTGGATCATCAGCAGTCTGCATCCACTTTCTGGCTCTTCTCTCAACTATCAGATATATATATTTATATATTTTCTTGTCTTTTTTTTTTTTTTTTTTTTTTTTTTTTTTTTTTTTGAGATGGAGTCTCACTCTGTGGCCCAGGCTGGAGCACAGTGGTACAATCATGGCTCACTGCAACCTCCACCTCCCAGGTTTAAGCGATTCTCCTGCCTCAGCCTCCCAAGTAGCTGGGACTACAGGTGCGTGCCACCATGCCTGGCTAATTTTTTATATTTTTAGTAGAGACGGGGTTTCACCGTGTTAGCCAGGATGGTCTTGATCTCCTGACCTTGTGATCTGCCCGCCTCGGCCTCCCAAAGTGCTGGGATTACAATATTTTCTTGTCTCTTTTTTTTTTTTTTTTTTTTTGAGACAGAGTCTCACTCTGTCACTCAGGCTGGAGTATAGTGGCATGATCTTGGTTCACTGCAACCTCCACCTCCTGGGTTCAAGCGATTCTCTGGTCTCAGCCTCCCAAGTAGCTGGGATTACAGGCATGCACCACCACGTCTGGCTAATTTTTGTATTCTTGTAGAGATGAGGTTTTGCCGTGTTGGCCAGGCTGGTCTCAAACTCCTGTCCTCAGGTGATCCGTTCGCCTTGGCTTCCCAAAGTGCTGGGATTACAGGAGTGAGCCACTGTGCCCAGCCAACATTTTAAGCAATTTTGGATTATATGACAGACACTGGATATAAAAGAATCATAAAGGTTACAGATGACGCTTTTTCCACCAGAGAGGACTGCCCCTTTCTCTGTTAGACTGACAGCATGAGGTCCATTACTGCATTCCCTTCAGAAACGGAGTAGGTTGAGGCTTGGCTGCAGCTTAGGTCTGGTTACTGCAGTTCTGAGTCTGCTGGGCTCTCTGTCTTCTCAAACCCCAAAGTCTGCGGGAGACTGAGTTCTGTCCTTCCAAGTTCCAGCTCAGCCTCCAGTCACATGCAACTTCAAAATCTGGCAAACATCTCTAGGAGTGTGCTCACGGCATGCTTTGTTGTTGTTGTTGTTGTTGTTTCTTTGTTTTATTGAGATGGAGTTTTGCTCTGTCACCCAGGCTGGAGTACAGTGGTGCAATCTCGGCTCACTGCAACCTCCACCTCCCGGGTTCAAGTGATTCTCCTGACTCAGCCTCCCAAATAGCTGGGATTACAGGCCTCCACCACCAAGCCCTGCTAATTTTTATATTTTTAGTAGAGACAGGGTTTCACCATGTTGGTCAGGCTGGTCTCACACTCCTCACCTCAGGTGATCCACCCATCTGGGCCTCCCAAAGTGCCTGGATTACAGGTGTGAGCCACTGCACCTGGCCTCAAGGCATGCTTTTGTTCCTAAGCACCTGGGAACTGCAGGAAGCCTGTTGTCAGGGGGCTTTCTGCCTGTATTTCCTGCTTCTCCAGGACTGGCAGGCGTGCTGCTTGAATGCCCCGAAGCTGCCAGACTGTTCCACCAGCCCTTGTGATTAGATGTTCTTTCTCCAGCAGAGCTTCTCTGCCTTGGAAGCCTGGGCCCTGGATGAGCCTGGAATCATCAAATCTTCCCTGGGGAAAAACAGCCAAGTAGACTGCAGCTCACCTTAAAAGGCTCCCTTCCCTGGGGTCTTAGTTCACCCAGTCCTCACTTCCACAGTTCAGGTACCTTTAAAAGCATGATCTTTTGGCTGGGCATGGCGGCTCACACCTGTAATCCCAGCACTTTGGGAGGCCAAGGTGGGCGGATCATGAGGTCAGGGGTTCAAGACCAGCCTGACCAACATGGTGAAACCCTGTCTCTACTAAAAATATTAAAAATAAATAAATAAATAAAATAAAAATATAAAAATTAGCCAGGCATGGTGGCGTGCATCTGTAATCCCAGCTACTCAGGAGGCTGAGGCAGAAGAATCTCTTGAACCCGGAGGCGGAGACTGCAGTGAGCTGAGATCACACCACTACACTCCAGCCTGGGAAACAGTGAGATTCTGTCTCAAAAAAAAAAAAAAACCGCTGGGTGCGGTGGCTCACACCTGTAATCACAGCACTTTGGGAGGCCGAGGCAGGTGGATCACGAGGTCAGGAGATCGAGACCATCCTGGTTAACACAGTGAAACCCTGTCTCTACTAAAAATACAAAATATTAGCTGGGCATGGTGGCAGGCGCCTGTAGTCTCAGCTACTCGGCAGGCTGAGGCAGGAGAATGGCGTGAATCTGGGAGGTAGAGCTTGCAGTGAGCCGAGATGGCACCACTGCACTCCAGCCTGGGCGACAGAGCGAGACTCTGTCTCAAAAATAAAAAACAGGATCTTTCAAATGTATCCAGCAGATTTTCTGTAGTTGCTGCAGCTGGAGAACTGGCCACCACAGCCTGGGCATCCTATCTCTCCCAAAGCAGTAGTTTTGTCCAGCTTTTAAAAAGACATGAAGTTGCCTGGTTGTGTCTGCCTATATTTCCTATATATTGCCTATATTAAAATATCCACTCTAAAAATTTCCTATTTTTTGGCAATGATTTTACAACAGACTGCAGGTTCCTTTTAAGGGCTCTACTCGGACACCTCTTTCCGGCTTTCCTCTTCCAGGGTGGCACGTGATCCTCAGCTGAAGTTGGCAGTTTCTGAAGCTCTGTCAATGTCAGGCCACGTGGACAGTAACAGGTAAGTCCTCAAACCCTGACGCTGGAGGAGGTGCAGGCTCATCCATGGACTCTCGCTGTTCTTCGTGGGTGGGCAGGGGGCACAAACAGCAGTTCTGTCGGGGCGGCAGGGCCAGCCTGTGGGTGCACATCGGGTCCCAGCTGCCCTACCCATGGGTGAGGTTCCCCACATCAGGGCCCCATGGTGGGCAGCAGAGTCACCTTCTATCCACACAGCTTTCCGCAAGGTGAGGTGACTCACACCTGTAATCCCAACTCTTCGGAAGACCAAGGCGGGAGGAAAACTTAAGCCTAGGAGTTCAAGACCAGCCTGGGCAACATGGCAAGACCCCATCTTTACAAAAAAATTTTTTAATTAGCTGGGCGTGGTGGTCCTCCTGTAATCCCAGCACTAATCCCTCAACAGCATTCTGCCTCCAGCCCGTTCAGCTTCATCCCCCTCTCCATTGCCCATGTAGGCCAAGGGCGGATATGCTCTCAGGACGTCCACTCCACTCCTGCGTGGCCTGGGCCCCGTTCCGGCTTCACACTGCCCAGGAGGCTCATTCTCCAGCCACGGCCCGGTGCCTGCGCCACCTTTCCTGTAAGACCCCCATATGTGGGGTGGGGGGGGCGCATGTGCCTTCCCAGTCTAGGTGGCGTCTGTGCCTCTCCTTGCTGTGGTCTCCCTCATGTCACTAGAGGAAGGATGGGACTGTGACCTCCACGTCCAGAGTTCCCATCCCCCCCAAGCAGGAGGGAAGCAACGACAGCCATCTCCCAGATGAAACATGGACTGAACCAAGCACCCCTGCCCCTCAGCCCACTGACACCAAGGACCACCTGCCAAGGCCTCAAGAGCTCACAACCCCATCTGCAAAGGTGACAGGCAGCCCATAGCCCATGGGGTCACTTTCCACTGTCTGGACTCACAGGACCTCTGGCCCTCATGGGGCAGGGCTCTAGGCTTCTGCGTCCCCGAAGGAAACCTGGTTGCAGTGATCAGGGGCTGTAGTAGGAAATACTGAGCTGTCCCAGGCCACAGAGCCAGGGTGGCATGCGGAGGACATGTGGCCATAGGCTTCATGTGGCCCCCATCCCTCCAGGAAGCCACAGCTGGGTTCTGTCGGCTCAGGCCACCCAGCAAAGCCCTTGGCCCATATGAAGGGAAGGCATCATGTTTTAAAAGGGGGGGTCCCCCATGTGGACACAGACGTAAACCAGTAACTAAAGACAAAAGGCATAGGTAGAGCACCACGACTCCAACAGAAGCGAGCGCTTTGGGGACGGTGGGGACAATGGGGACAGTGGGGACAGTGGGACGGTGGGGATGGTGGGGACAATGGGAATGGTGGGGACAGTGGGGATAGTTAGCTGTTGCTGCACCATGTCAGGAAGTGTGAGGTTCACTCCCCCAGCTCAGCCCAAGAGAGCGCCCACCCCATGCAATGCCCAGGCAGAGGCAAGAGCCAGGACTCTGTGACCCCCATGGGTCGTTTGTGACCCCCACCCCGCTCACCAGGAATATTAACCGGCCCATCCTTCCTCACAGAGAGGAGGAGGACCTGGAGGACCTGGAGGCAGCAGCTAAACATGACTTCAGCGCCCACCCGTGGCCCTCCTGTCCCCCTCCCCTCCCCCATCTCCTCTATCTCTATCCCCACCTTATTTTCCGCAGCAACGTGTGGAAGGGCCGGAACAGCTCGGACATGTCTTCTGCCTTGCGGTCCAAGTTCAGGGGTCCGTCCGCATAGACCACGAGGCCACTGCATTTGAGACACAAAAGCCAGGATGTCAGGCCTGTGGCCCCCTGGGTGCCGTGGACAGCCCAACTTAACCACCTGCGAAAACCACGGCCGCTGGGACTCTGCAGCGTCACTGTCCCAGCACGGCCGCCGCCTCATGCTTTGCCTTGTGTGATTGCATCATAAATAAGTTTAGAAAAAAGCAGTAAAAATTATTACCCAGACTTCATCCTCTTTTGCAGTTGATTAGCTTGTGTTCACTAGAAGGGTCGTAAAGTAATCAGAAAAGTGTATCTGCACACATCGGTGCTGCAATCAGATAAATTCGCCTCAAGGTTTGTTACCAAAACCTACCTTCTTGCAAGTTATAAAAACTGGATTTGTGGTTAAATTTATCTGCAGAGACTTATGAGAATTGGACCTGGAACCATCTTCTCCAAAAGCAAAACCAGCTGCAGGTGTGAGCTGAGGCCCCGCACGGGTTCCCTTCCTGCAGCCTGGCCAATGCTCCACCACCCCACAAGACCAAAGCAGCCTCCCCTCATCTCCCACACAGGACCCACCTCCCTTGTGGTGCCCACCATGCCCCGAGAAGCTCCCCTCCCCAGGACTGCAGCCCCATGTGGCTGAGGCCGGTTTTCCTCACTGTCCCTACCCCAGAGTCTGGCTCAAGGCCTGCTGAAGGACAAGCTTCCCAGATGCCACCTCTGGCAGCCCCCACTCCTCTCTGTGCACCGTCCAGCCCTGCCCAGCTCCGAGTGTGCCTTGATCATCCATGTCTCAGCCCGTCTCTCCTTGAGGGCACCCATCCCAGAGGACCTTCTCTGGGTGCCTCCTCCTGGGTCTCTGGGACCAGACCATGTCTCAGGTGCCTGGGGAGTATCCACCCACGAAATCGTCCCCTGTCCCTCATCATCATCATGTTCTTCCTCATCAGAGCACAGACAAGGGCCATGTGGGCTTGTCTGTGTAAATGGAGCACCACCAGCCTGTCTCTTTCTGCAGACATGACACCAAGGTCAGGTCCAGCCAACACTATCCAACACCAAGTCCCCAGCAGCTCAGGGACAGTCTCCTTGTCCAACGCACCCAGCTCAGTGAGAAGGGCTAATATAGGGAATTGAACAAAGGGAATGTTTCTCCCTAAAAATCGTTGGGTTTCATGTGCAAAAAGAAAGATTTGAAAGTCACAGGAAAAGTATGTGCAGTGCTGCCTCTGGGGCATGGGGGCGCCAGGCCCTGTGGAGTGGCCAGCTCAGCTGGGCAGGAGGCTGTGTCCTGACCCCATGTGCGTGAGCGGACAGCACAGCCAGCCTTCCATTCTGCTTGGTGTCCTTTGTGGCTCTTACATGAGCTGTCTGTCCTGATTAAACGAACAGTATTCAGGGGACAATTACCCAAACCGAGCCTTAACTCTATGGGTGAATCAGGCAGTCTCAGGACAAAGGCAGAGGGAAACAGAGCAGGGAAAGGGGCAGCCCTGACTCCAGCGGCCGGGCCTCAGGAAGCCATCCCCAACCCTAGTAGAGCTCCCTCCCTGCTGGGCATAGGACTCAGCCCCACAATGACTCGTGCACCCAACGTCTGCCCATCTGGAAACCTCGCTCCTGCCTGCTCCGGGCAGCAGTGTGGCCGAGGAAGGTCTCAGCTGCCCCCCAGGGCAGTCAGCAGGAGTGGGGGAACGAGGCCCACCCATGAGAGCTGCTGGCCCAGGTCCTCAGAAAAGAACTCGTTCATCAGGAGGCTCAGACCCGGAGGCTGCTGTGCCACCTCCTCCTGGGAGCCTGCGGGGACCCAAGGACCCCCAGGCTGTATCCCTGCATCCAGCCGTGTGTCGGCTTTCGCGTGCTGGACGAAGGGCCAAGCACTCCACGGTGGCCGAGCCCTGCTGCTCAGCGACTCTGCAGGTGCCCGAACTACAGAGAGAAGGCCTGCAGGACGGGAGATCAGGCTCAGGTGCTGAAGTAACGGGGTGTGGGGGCCAGAGGTGGGGAGAGGTGGGGAGCAGCCCCCAGGCGGTAGCCAGAGGCTCAGCATCTGTCTCTGCAGCTGGCCTGGCACTTGCAGGAATCTGGCTGAAGGGGAATGAGGCCTGGGAATGAGCTATTGCTAGAAATGGTGGGTCTGATGCAGCTGCTGCCCATGGCTACAGCCCGACAGGCCACCCAGGCCTGTGTCCACACTGCCACGAGCAGGGGTAAGGCAGTCACCCACCAGTGAGCCTAGAAGGCTGGATCCCGGGGTCTCGGTGTGGCCAGGGGTGTGGGGGCACCGTGAGGGGCCTGGCCCAGATCCAGCTAAGGTGAGCAGGCCAGAGGACACCCTGCACAGTGGAGAAAGCTGGGCCCTGCTGGATGTGGGGGTGGCCGGTCTTCCCTTTTCTTTTTTCAGAGAAATCCATATAACAAACAATTGTTTTAAAGGGTACGATTCTGAGGCCTTTTCTGCATTCATAGTGCTGTGCACCCATCACCTCTCTAGTTTCAAAAGGTTTTTATCACCCCAGAAAATACCCTTTTAATAATCACTGACTTATTCACCTCAGCCATGGCAATCCTTCATCTGCCTTCTGTCTCTCTGAATTGGCCTATTCTGGGTGTTTCATGTAAACAGAATCACGTAATGCGTGACCTTTGTGACCAGTTTTCACCTTGCACCACGTTTTCAAGGCTCATGATGCTGTGGCACGTGGCAAATGTTCCCGCACATACATTTCTTCATTCATCCACGGGTGGACGTTTGGACTGTTTCTGTCTTTGGGCTATTATGAATAATGCTGCCATAAACATTCGTGTAGAAGTTTGTTCACGGACATATGTTTTCATCTCTCTTGGGTATATGCCTAGAAGGGTATGTGGTATGACCATATGGATCATATAATTCTATGTTTAACTTTTTAAGGAACCACCAACTGTTTTCCGTAGCAGCTGCAGCATTTTACACTCCCGCCAGCAATCCAAGGGTTTTGACTTCTCCACACTCTCACTACGTATTCTTTTCCAATTTTTTTGATTACAGCCATCCTGGTGGGTGTGAAGTGGCATCTCATCATGGTTTTGATTTACATTTCCTTAATAACGAATGATGTGGACCATCTTTTTCACGTGCCTGTCGGCCACGTGTATATCTTCTTTGGAGAAATGTCTATTCAAGTCTTTATTCATTTTTAAATTGGGTTGTTTGTCGATTTGTTGTTGAGTTGAAAGGGTTCTTTATATGTTCCAGACATTAAATCTTCATCAGATATATGATCTGCAAATATTCTTTAGGTTGTCTTTTCATTTTCTTTATAATGTCTTTTGATGCATCACAATTTTAAATTTTGATGAGGTCCAGTTTCTCTTTTTATTTTTTTGTGGTGGTGCTTTTGATGTCAAATCCATTGAAAAATCTGAGAACAGGAAGACTTACCCTCTGTATCAAAGTTCTCTAGAGAAACAGAACAAGAGAGAAAGATTTATTTATTTTAAGGAATTATTTCATGCAATTGTGGGGGCTGGCAAGTCCAAATTCTGCTGGAGACCCAGAGAAGAGTTGACATGGCAGCTCCAATCCAAGGAGTCTGGAAGCCGGATTCCCTCTTACTTGGGGATCTCAGTCTGTTTCTCTCAGGGCCTTCCACTAACTGGATGAGGCCCACCCACATCACGGAGGGTCGTCAGCTGTACTCAGAGTCTACTGATTTAAATGCTAATCTCATCTTTAAAATACTCACAGCAGGGTGGTGCTGACATGCGTTTCAGAGGACAGGGAAGGTTGTATCCACATTGTACAGTGGATGCTACATTGGACACCAATGGGAAGAATCATCCATTCAATGAAGCATGACTTGTGTTGAACAAGACAAGCTGGGTGAAGCATTTGAAGGTGCTTTTGAGGTACTGAGGTACATTCAACTGATCTTCAGTCCTCCCCAGATGACAAAAATGACCTGGCTTTCATCAACCACTGTCCTCATGTCAGAGGAAATTCCATCTGCTAAGAAGTGTTGCCCACAGAGGAACCTGTGTATAACTGGAGAACCATAGTAGCAGGAAGAAGCTCTGACCGTTTTAATACCTTCACGAATCCCCACATAATGCCAAAATGGCGTCTTGTATCCAGGGGTAGATAAAACCAAAGACATCTTTCCATTTGTATTGAAAAACAAAGAAAAACTTTAGGGAAAACCTTCAGGGAAAAAGAAAAGTCAACCAGAACCCCATGACTTACTCAGAAAATTGCCAGGGCCCTGAGGAATGATGGAAGAACTAGAGAAATCGCCAAAATCCAGAGGAAGCTGACCTACCAGTTTACCAAGGCCATCCTCCAAAGACTCTATCTTATTTCTCGGGGAAAGCAATCTTCTACTCACAGTGTGTTCAGCCTGATCAAGAATATCTCAGTTTAAATAACTAGAATGCAAATTATAACTATACACGTGCCAATTACCATGAGCTAAGTCACCCTGATTGCTAAATATACTCTCACGTTTCATGGTTTCCTGGCATCAGAAATCCCTACAAGCTTCAGGATTTTTCTCTTAAAGCAAATGCTGAAGAGAAAAAAAAATAACTTTATTATTGCTATCTTTTGTCAAATAGCATAGAATCTGCACTAACTTGGTGGGAAATCCTGCCAATGAACAAATTTATTGTTGCAAATGACCAAGCCCTATGTGAAAGTACTGACTAAATGGCCTTGCTCTTACTATTCTCTATTCAACCACTTTCTTCCCGATTAATACTGCCAGTACAGGAAACTAATAATGATTCAAACATTTTTCTGTCATATACTCAGGTAAAAACATCACTCTAACCTATATCTGCTGGCTTTACAAAAAATCGTTTACAAAAAAATGATTGCACATGATAAAAGCGTTTGTGCAAAAATACATTCATGGCTTTAAAAACTTCAGTGAAAATGTATATTCAGTTCCCTTACTCACATTTTTTCCTTTTCCCCTTGTCTTTAAATCTTACTTTTTCATTTTTCTTTTAAGAGACAGAGTCTCATTCCGTTGCCCAGACTGTAATTCAATG